AACCTGCGTCTTTTACGCCAAAACCTCAAATTATATTTTTAAAATACAATTACGCGATGTACATCGTTGGATTCGTCGTTAAAAGTGCTATCCGAGTTAATTTAAATGCGCAAGGTTAATTAACATACGAAACTAATTTCCCGTCGAACTGGAAGTTGAACAATTACTTTTAATATGTTCCCATACGAATTCTTACAAACGAAAAATTAAACGATCCCTAAAAAAACTAGTTCATTGTCTGCGTACTTAACTAACACAAAGTTATATTAAACTGTAAAAAAAGTGTTGAACTATGGAAAAAATTATGACGAAATGTAATTAAGTATTTGAAATTTTAAAGCACAGAAAGTATTATTTTTAAAGCACCGTGTTTAGTTTGTGAATTTCAAGGTCAACGACCTCTGACATCGACCTAGTTTGGGTAAACTACATAATATCAATACACCTGATGAGATATGACAATATGACGCTAGGCGAGTAATAAACAAATGACGAGTTTTCATTTTCTAAATTTTTTGGTCACGGTTACCAAAAATAATGTATTTTAATTACTTTTATGCCTTTTAGACATCTTAAAACAAAAAATAATCCTTAAAAATTGTGGAAGACATTTAATTTTTTCATTTTAAAGCGAACAAAACCAAAGCGAAGTAAATTTTTGTATAAAACATCGCAAATGAGCGATTTAAAAGCACTGCCCTTACCTTGCAAAATCAACCCGTCCCTCTGCACCACCTCCATCGTCGGCGAATAGTAGTCCTCCAGGTACTTGTTAGATATGGACACCAGGCACCAGAATGCCTGCTCGGCGGGCATGTGCATCAGCAGGAAAGCCGCCACGGGCGCTTGCGCTTGGCAATACCCGATCTCGGGGTAACGGATCGTGTACGCCTTCAAAACGTTAAACAACTCCTGTTGCCTGCGAACAGAAACGTCAATTTTCGCACGAAAATCGAATATCGCGGCTTACCCGGGCTTATCCTCCGAGCTGAACATCTCGTGCAGTGGGAACTGCCGGTGGATGTCCTTCCTAATGTCCTCGATGCACTTGGGGTCCCCGTCGGCCCGCAGGCAGTCCTCGTACCTGTTGGGTTCCTTGTCCATCAGGAGTTTACCACCGCAGAGGTAGAGCCATGCCCTGGGCCGGACGGACATCGGGATGCCTGAAATTTCGTCGGTATACTCTAGTAAGCCTGTGATAAGTCACCGTTTCCTTTTTTTTTAGGCATAGAAGCACGTTTTTGCAGGAAACGACTTTAGAAATTCTTGCTGCAAACGTCTAATACAACAAAAACATTTAAACTGGATGAAACTTAAATATTGAGGTCTTATTCTTAATAATTTTCTTGACGAATGACTTGGCAAACTTTAAAAAAATATTAATATCGCTGTGAATATTTCTAATTTTGAAAGAGTATAGATTGTATGCACACACTTAACATTCACCCTGTACAATGACTGAATCAGCGCGATTACTACTCAAAATTATGTGTCAACTATGTACGGGATAAGTGAATGCTTTTTGCCTTGCATAAATCAGGGAACGTAACAAAGTTAGGGGAAAACCACGGTATATAAACCACAGTCTTAATTCTGTATAGTGTAGTGATGTATTTGGGTTTTCCCTTTTCCTCTCGAGATTGTTGGAGACCTTGGAGATTAATAATAATTAATTGTTTTTTTTTCTAATTTTGTTAAGTCCGTTAAATTAATAAATGCATTATTATTGTCAATAAATTGTGTTGTGAAAATCAAAGTTGCTTAATTTGTGTAAACTTTGTATGATTGGTGGAAGGTGTGGTTTAAAGAAAAAAACAAAACTAATAACGCCCCCAATTTCTAATATCAAAAGTGGGATTCCTGCCCCGTTTTCCATGAAAATTGTTCAAAGAAAACAAAGAAAACAAAAAAAAATGGAGGCCCTGCTTACTGAAGTATTAAAATCCATCAAATCAAATCGGACAGCACCTGAACAAGTTGATTTGCCAATGTTTCGACCCGATGTGGATGACGCTAAACAATAGATTGAACAGGTCGACATGATTAAAAAAGAATTTGAGCGGTCTGATCTGCAAATAGTGGTTAGAGTTGGACGTTTTTTAACTAATGATGCTAAATTTTGGTTTGAAAATTGGTCTCCAGTCGTCCAAGACTAATAATAGAATAGCAAGAATACAGGATATTTCTTTGAATGACTGCAATATTTAACAATTTTAATACATCAGGTAAGAGTTCTTGTATTAATTATATTTAGACAAATAATTTTAAGTCTTTATTTTGAATTATTATTGAATTATTTATTATTTGGCATTGCTGTGACGTAATTTAATGCTATTTGGGGGGTATATAGCCCGTGGTACAGTCATTTCCTGCAATATCAGTAGTTAAGAGTCTGGTTTGTGAGGTTAGATATCATTTGCATACCTAGATTCCATTGTTTGACTTCGTTTGATAAAAAAAATTAGTCCCCAATTAAGTTTTTTTTGTTTTTTGCTATATATATTTCACATGTTTGTTGTTTTTTTTACTGTTTTTGGTAATTTTTATGTCAATGTAAGATTATCTAACATTAAACGAATAAATAACGATAAAAACGACACGAATTTAACAACAAACAAACTTACCCTTCCTACACCTCTCCTTTATCTTCCTGTAGTTCCTATCCATGTAAAAATTCCACTGGGACAGCATCTTCAGCCACTTCCT